AGGGGAGGACCGCCAGCCTCCAGAACATGCTGATATTACATGGTTGGTCGAGAGCTCCGCTGACGTCGGAGGTCTGGGTCTCCTGATGTGGTCGGAGGCCTGTCCAGGCAACAGCAGCAAGCGTCCAACAAGCACAGGCGAGTTTGATTAGTAGGCCGGCCGTGCCATATCGAGGGCACCCTCGTGTCTTGAGTTTCTCGACCCATGCCTTCTGCATTCCTACGGCACTGTGGCCCCCGGAAGGGTCACGTGTTCTCTCGCGAGTCTTCTCCAATCATGTCCGACTGTATCGGAAGCAGCCTCCCCACGGCGTCGAACCACCTGGGGCGCTTTCTCTCTGGGCCGCGCCGTCGACGAGTCAGTCCGAGGACCGACCTGCTTGACCCCTCCCCCTCTGGGGGAGGGCCTGCGGAGGGGGCCCGTGGAAGGCAGAGGCGAGGCGAGCGGGCCCTCCTCACACTTCCCCCGCGCCCCTCTCCCCTTGCGTCCGCAGTCGTTTTGGCCTGGGCCGCTCAAGCGCCAAGCTCCTGGCTCCAGCGCTCCGCGGTCGCTCTCCCGGCAGGCCTCTGGGTGGCAGCCATGGTGGAGGAGCTGAAGCAGATGCAGCGCTCGGACCCCGTGGCCAAGGAGCAGTGGCACGCCTACTGCGAGGCCTATGGCAATGGCGTCCGCGACCCGAACAGACACGACCTCACCTTCATCACGAGCTTCGTCACGCAGTACCAGAGCGGCGCACGGCTCGAGTCGAGCGAGGGCAAGGAGTTGGTGCAGTACATCAAGCAGGGCAAGAGGAAGTCCCCGGCGTGGAAGCAGATCTGGGAGATGTACGCGGACACGCGCATGGTCGATGGCAGGCCGAAGCACGACCCGGCGGCGCACCCCTCCGACTTCCTGGAGGGCTTCTTCGAGTTTATCGGCAACATGGCTGTGGGCAGCGGGGCCGTGATGGGCGGCGGCCTGGGCGGCATGGGCAGTTTTGGCGGCATGGGCGGCTATGGTGGCATGGGCTTCGGCGAGAGCGCCCCGAAGATGCTGAAGACGGGCTCGGACAATCCGCTGGTGCAGAGGATCAAGAGCTACCAGAGGATGGGCCAGGCGCAGAAGGACGCCTGGCACACGTACTGCGACACGAACCTGGGCGGCAGCCGCGACCCTGCGCGCCACGACGAGGCCGCTCTGCAGACCTTCATCTCACAGCACGGCGTGCCCTAAGCTGCTTGTCCGAGAGGTGCCGAGGCGGACGCGCTGGCCGCGCCATCCGCTCATTGCACATGCGGTGTGCACTGAAGGAGGGGCTCCTGTCGCTGCACTTGCCCTCGCCTTACCTCCTAGGGATCAGGGCGGTCGCGAGCCCAGCTCGGAGCCTTTTCGCTACCATCCCTTCGGGTGCCCTTCCCTCCCCTTTCTCTTCGTCCCTGTCTTCTTCCTCTTCCTCCCCCTCCTCCCCTTCCCCGCGTATCCCCGTCCTGCCTTTCATCCTTGTTTCCCCCCTCCCTTCCCCTCCTTCTTCTATGAGCGCCCAGCCTTAATGTGGTAGGGCGGCGCCAGGAGGCGCAATGCCAGCCACGGGGGCGATGTTCAATGGCCACGGGAGTGGCCGTCAGACTCCGTCGGATAGACCCTTGAAGTGAGCCGGGAGAGACACAATCACCCTTCTCGTGCAGATCCCCATCATCTAGGTTACCAGTCATCCAGTGGTGCTGGATTCTTTTTTTTTGGAGACACAGCACCCGGCGTTCTTCCTCACTCCTCCTCCCCCTCCTCCCGCCTCTCATCCATGCCTCTGCCCATGTCGGCAAACCCTCACTCGCCTCGTGGCCCCATAGGGAGCTCCATCGAAGTTCCCAGTGGCGCAGCCCGCATGCGGTCCCACCACCGATTTCGGCACACCCTCAAACGTTCGTGGCCCAAAGAGGAGCTCCACCGAAGGTTCCAGTGGCGCAGCCCGGCGGTCCCGCCACCCACATCGGCACAACCCTCACGCAATTCGTGGCCTTGTAGGGAGCTCCACCGAAGGTCCCCGTGGCGCAGCCCGCATGCGGTCCATCCACCGATTTCGGCACACCTCTCACATGTTTCGTGGCCCCATAGTGAGCTCCACCGAAGGTCCCAGTCGCGCAGACGGTACGCGGTCCCGCCACCCATTTCGGCACACCTCTCACGGGTTTCGTGGCCCCATAGTGAGCTCCACCGAAGGTCCCAGTCGCGCAGAAGGCATGCGGTCCCGCCACCCATATCGGCACACCTTTCAGGCTTCGTGACCCCATAGTTAGAACCACCGAATGTCACAGTCGCGCAGACGGCATGCGGTCCCCCCACCCATGTCTGCACACCTCTCACAGGTGTCTTGGCCCCATGGGGAGCTCCACCGAAGGCCCCAGTGGCGCAGACCCCCCGTCCCGCCAACGATTTCGGTCCACCACTCGCAGACTTTTCCGTGGCCGCCGCACATGGAGCTCCACCTAAGGCCTCAGTGGCGCAGCTCGTATGCGGTCCCGCCACCCAGTTCAGCACACCCCTCACACTCTTCGTGGCCCCATAGGGAGATCCACCGAGTGCCTCCGGGATGCGGAAACAGGGAGCTCCTCCACCGAGTGCCTGCGTGGCGCAGTTCGCATGCGGTTCCCAACCCGCTTCGGCAGATCCCTCACGCTTCGTGGTCCCACAGCGAGCTCCACCGAAAGCGATGACCACAACGCGGTACTAAACAACTGCATATGGTTGGTTTCCTCGCCAGGATTGTTTTTCTTCGGGCGCGTATCGGTCGTGTGTTGCGGGGGGGACTGGACCCCCACACACATATTGGTGTTCGCGCGCTTTTTGCAGCGATCGCAGCGCACCCCCGCTCCGATGTGCTCCATCACGCCCAATCGTTACCGTTACCCGGGGCCTCACCCCCCCTCTGGCAACGACCGTTACCAGGGAAAGTAACAAAACAGTATCCCTCGTGGGCGCGAAGATGGTCACGCTTCGCGGTCTGCGCCGGAGAGCTGCAGGGGTGGTAAGACGGTCGCGAAACGTAGTTGTCCTTGACCACCATCTTCGTTCCCGATTGCTGGGGGCTCAGGCGTGAGGAGGTCGGCCCCAAGGCGCCCACTCATCGCCCATCGGCACGCGGGCGTTCCATCGCTCCCCCGGGCAAGCTGCTTCGCTATGGGGGAGGAGTGTCGGAGGTGTACCAGACGAATCTCCTTCCTGTTGCTCCTGTTTCTCAAGCCACACCTACTGATGCTGCTGTTCTCCTCCCTCCATTACCTAACTCTCCTTCCCCTTCTCCCTCCTCGTCTTTGTTGCCCTCTACCCCCTCATGTCGTCCGTGCCCCTCCTCTCTATTCCTGGTCTCCTCCCTCACCCCCTTCTTCTACTGCTGCTCTTTCGACTCGGTCTACCCCCACCCCCGTCAAATCATCATAGGCTTGCGGCTGCCTCTCGGGCTAGTCATCCTACTCTGAAGTCTTGCGTGTCCCTCTTCAGGAGGAATATTCAAACATATTAATACATAGTCTTGGGACGATGTTTCTACTTTGTTGTTTTTGAATTGGTGGTCTAGTGTTGAATATAATGTTTGATGTTTTTTGGGGTTCTTTCAACTCAGCCTTTAGGAGGACATGCCGGACCTAATCATACTCCTGCTCCTCGACCTCGTCCGACTCCCAAGCCTGTTCCTACTCCAGCTCCGCTTCCTGGCCCCCCTGGCTGCTGGACCCCATGCTGTTCCGCGAAGGTGACGGTTGCAGCCGTCAGCCAGATCTCATCTGAGCGACGGAAGATGCGGGCTCGTCTGCGCCGAAATTGGCGTGTGGATAAGGCTCTCCGCGTAAGGTCTCGCGTGAGAGTCCTCGTTGGCCAAAATGTAGTGCCGCGCCGGCGGCCCGCGGAAGCCACCGCGTGAGGTCGCTGCGCCATCGCGCGCAAGGCCCGTTGCTCTTCCTCGCGCGCCTGTGCAGCGGTGCCTTCTTCGCGTGCCTGGACCTTGGCACCGCTCGGACGCGTGCATTTTTCCTTCGGCGAGGACCATCGAGGAGCATCCTTGATCATTTGGCGAAAAAAAAAAACAACCACGCACGAAACCTAAAAAAACACAGGGAATGGACGTCCCAGCGATGCCCAGTGGCCGCGGCGCGTGCGGAGACGAGGCGGCAGAAGCACACCCTGTCGGGGCTCGCCCGTCGGGGCTCAGCGCCCCCGAGGGTCAGCGCCAATCTCTTCTGGCGGACCAGCGCCTGGGCGCCTCGTGTCGGGCGAAGAGAACTATGCACATGCACCGATCCTGGCAAGGCCCATCCTTGACCCAGGATCAGTGCATATGCCTTCCTGGCCAAGGTAGGAGGGCGTATGCACCGATCCTGGGCTCAGGATGGGCCTGGCCAGAATCGGTGTATGTGCATAGTTCTTCTTCCTCTATCGTGGGGCCACTTCCCCCTTTGTCTGCCCTCCACAGACCCGGGTCTGGGAGCCACCAATGACCAGCCTGGAACATCTCCCTATCCCCATGCTGGGCACCTCCTCCTCACGATGCCAATCTTAGGGACTCCCTCATTTTTGAGGGCGCATCCCTAAGATTGTCATCGCCTTTTGGCGTGCCAATCTTGGGGATAGGGATAAGTTCGAGGCTGCTAAACCAAGCGGCCAGTGCTGGCTGACACGAGTTTGCCCTGGCCCAGGCCAGTGCGTCCCCGAGCAGCAGGCGCGCGAGTATCCTCGAGGAGCCCCGCACGGTCAGCGCCGGCTGCCCTTGTTGGAGAGCGCCGCCGGCCCCTTTTGCCGCCAGCCCCGCCATCGTCCTTCCGCCCCTTCGCTCGTGCTGCCCGCGCCGGCCCGCGTCCGGCGGGCAGGGGGCCCGGCGTGGCCCGGGGGCTCCCGCGGCGGCTGCGCGGGCGTGGCCGTGCCTGCTGCCCGGGGCGGCGAAGCCTTCCGCGCTGCGCGCCACCGCGGCGAGCGCGAGGCTGGGCGCTCCGGGTGGGCGCCCCGGCACTCCCCGGGGGGCCGCTGGCCCGCAGGCGCGGACGCCTCCATGTCGCGGCACACCGAGATGAACGAGGAGGTCTTGTCGCCGGGGTGGGTGGGCGTGGCTGTCTTCCTGGCGGGGCTCGCCTGAGGAGGAGGACGACGATGAAGATGCAGACGATGATGGTGACGATGATGACGACAACGATAAACGATGTTGATGACGGTGATGCTGCTGCTGCCAATCTGGATGGTGATGATGGTGATGATGATGCTGATGTTGATGTTGATCGTGATGATTGTGTCAACGATGATGACGATAATGGTGCTGCTGCTGATGTTGATGATGCTGATGATGTTTCTGATGTTGTTGGTGATGATGATGATGATGCTGATGCTGATGCTGATGCTGATGCTGATGCTGCTGATGATGATGATGCTGATGATGATGATGAGGATGCTGATGGCGACGATGTTGCTGATTATGATGGTGCTGCTGCTGCTGCTGCTGCTGCTGCTGATGATGATGATGATGATGATGATGATGATGATGATGATGATGATGATGATGATGATGATGATGCTGATGCTGATGCTGATGCTGATGCTGATGCTGATGCTGATGCTGATGATGCTGATGAGGCAGCTGCTGCTGATGCTGTTCAGCATGCCAGGGACCCGTGTGGCAAGAACACAGGGGGCGGGGGATCGAATGGCCGTCGGCCCACCCCGCCACCGTGCTTGGGTGGTGACTATGAAGCGTATTTGATGTTCGGTTGGATCTCGTGGGAGGCCTCTCGGGAGCCTCTTGGAGGCAGTTAGGTGGCCTCGTGGGGGCCGTTTTGTGGCCGCTTGGTGCCCCCTTTGGGTATCTTGGGAGGCCTCCTGGGAGTCTTGGTGGCCTCTTAGGGCCTCCTAGTCGCTCCTGTGGGCCTCGTGGTGACGGCTTTGGGCGGAAGGCTCTGATTTTCCGTTCGTGATCTCACTCGTGGGCCTTTTTTGTAGCCGTATTGGTGCTTTCTTGGGCCGTCGTGGGCGCCTCTTCGGCCGTCTTGGGGTGCTTTTGGGCCGTCGTGGGCGCCTCTTCGGCCGTCTTGGGGTGCTTTTGGGCCGTCTTGGGGCTCTCTTTGGGGCCTCTCGGGTCGTCTTGGGGCGATCTTGGGGGCTTCTTGGACCGCCTTGGAGCGTCGGAAAACCGAAACGGCGAGGAGGTCAACATCCTGGACACAACCAGCGGACCTCTAGCATGTTGCCCTCTTGAGGCTCCCTTCGGAGGCGTCGTGGAGGCTTGTTGGGGCGGTTTGGAGGCCTGTTGGGCTGCCTTGACATCTTGGGCGTCTTGGGCCGATCTTGGGGGCCTCTTGGACCCCGTCGTGTCTCCCCGCGTGACTCTTGGGGCCCTCTTGACCCGTCTTGGGGCTCCCCGGGGCAGACACCATCCCGCGCCATCCCCTCCCGAAGCCCAGGGGGGTACGCGCCACGCCCCGCGAGAGTTGAGGACTTGGGGCCCGGGCCCCTAAACCACAACCACAGGACATCGGGCTGAGGCTCAGGGGGTTGGGCAACGGTCCCAAGGGCGTGCCCCCTCCATGCCCAGCGGCAGGGTGCTGGACTCGTCGGAAGTGCCGATCGCAGGCGGTCGCGGCGCTGGAGAACTTTGGTGGGTCGGGAGGAGGCGGGGGCAGGGTCGGAGGGAGGGAGGGAACGGGTGCATGACGCAATGGAGAACTGGGACGGGGAATCTCCTCCTCCTCTTGCTCCTCCTCCTCCTCCTCCTCCTCCTGCTCCTCCCCCCCCCCTCCTCCTCCTCCTGCTCCTCCTCCTCCTTTGGAACGGGTGGTGGGATGGATGGCGAGAGTGGGCGGGATGGTGTTTGCGTGGGATTATGCGACACGGGGGAGCGGCAAGGGCGGGATGGGGAACGAGTCCCTGCTAAGTATCCGTTGTGTTCAATGCATGTCCCGCCTTCCTAGGGGGTACAGGGGCGGGCGCTTTGTTGGCCACGCATATGGATCTTCACGCTCCAGCGCCATCTGAGACCTCTACACTCTAGACTATATCGGGGACTGTTTGCTGTTTGGGGGAGGTTCCCTGGGTGGAGCAGGGCGAGGAGGAGGAGGAGGTGCAGGAGGAGGAGGAGGAGGAGGAGGACGACGAGGAGGAGCAGGAGGGGGAGGGGAGGGGAAGGGGAGTAGAACAAGCAATTTGAATTGTGGGACGGCTGTGCAGGGAGTCCATGCGCTTAGGCTTGCGGAGCTGACCGTGTGTGGCGTGACATGAAGCATCAGGGGTGGGGGCTGGCTGGAGGGACGCGGACGCGGAGGGAGGCTTGTGAGGCAGGGGGAACGGGCAGGGGGACTGGGGCATGGTGGACGTTAGTTGAAATGCGATGGGTGGGTGGATGTGGTATAGGGAGGCAAGCGGGCGAGCGCTAGGGGCGTGGAGAACGAGGGTGGAGTGGGCGGGAGGCATGCGAGGAGCCAGTCCGAGCGAGTCGAGGCGGTAGCCATGTCGAGCGAGTCAGAGCGCCGTGCTCATTCCAACCCCCCTTTTCCGCACCATCAGAGTCTTGAGTCAAGTGTGGCACACTTTGATATCGGGACCGGAGCGCGCTCCCCGCAAACGGACGGCGCTTGCGCGCGCCCCCGCCTCCGACGACTGTAGTGCCGGACGGGCAGCACACGCCCATACCCGATGGGGCGACGGGGCGGGCTGTGCTCGGGTGCTGTCGGGTGGGGGTGTTCCGTACGATCTGGAGCTTCTCCGAGGGTCCAGCAACCCGCTCCCAGACCCATATGCAGCCCTCTTCCATATCCGACAGGAGCGCAGGCGTCTGGGTCGGGCAGCTCCGTCCCTATCTCTTGTCCGCATCCTCTCCGTGCCTCCCCGTTCCACTTCTCCACGTGCTCCTTCTCTCCGTACCTTCGCGTTCCCCTCCCTTTCACTCCTCGGGCGGGGGCAGGGCGAGGACAGAGCCGCTCTGGGAAAGGCCGCGGCGCCCAAGGCATCCTCCACGACCGCAGGATCTCAGAGATTCTCGATTTACCCTCACCCGATTTGATCCTCGTCCTGGCTTCGGCTTTCCTTCCCCCCTCGTTCCCCGTTCCCCTCCTCTCCGTGCCTCCCGGGGCAATGGCGCTCAGCTCTGGTTTTCCCATGCGATTTTACAGTGTCGGCCGTTCGGGGTCTTCGGCTTGATGTGGGCATGTGTTTGTGTGTGTATTGGCAGCGGCAGGCTTCCATGTTCGTGGGGGCCTGGGGCGGCGTCATTGAAACCAGCTTTCATGGGAGCCTCTGGCGGCGACATTGAAACCAGCTGTTCCTGCTTTTGGTCCGCAGTTGGACCACCTTCTTGGCACTTCATCCTGATCCTCCTCCACCCTTCCCGCGACTCCTCACCCTCCTTGTCTCTTCGTCTCCCTTGTGAAGGGGCGCAGCGCGCAGCTGGTTCAGATCCGCTCCAAATCTGATCCTGGACGCGTTCCAAATCTGTCCCAATCGGAAGACGTGCAATGTGGGGGGCTATCGATGGGTGAGCAGCGGGGGCTCTCGAAAAGGAGCCCTCCGGGGCCCAGAACGGGGCCCTGTAGGGCCGAAGAGGTGGCCTTTGAAAATGGCACCGTCTTCCCCTCACTTATCGCCCCCCCGTTGATGGGCGCCAGCGTCCAATTCAGGCCCAAATCGGACAGCGCCAGGGCTTAGTGGGCCCTGGAAACGACAGGGCCGTTTTTTTACCGGCTCCGTTTTGCCGTTTTTTTGCCCATTCCGACGTTGTTTTTTTACGGGTTCCGTCGCCGTCTTTTGACCGGTTCCGGCTCCGGTTCCAATCCTGGAGCTGTTTTTAGCCGTTTCCGGTGGCCGTTTTTTGGCTGTTCCCATTTCCAAGGGACATTTTTTTTGGAAACGATGAAAAAACGGCCCTGCCGTTTCCGGGTCCCACAAAGCGCCAGGGGCCATGGAGCGGACACCCACCTTGCTGTGTGCGCGCCTGTCGGCAGCAGCGGGCGCCCCTCTGCGGGGCGGAGGGCGGGGCGTCCTCCGTGGCTCCCCGTCCCTCTGCGTGGCAGGGGGCGCGCCACCCTCACAATGTTTGTTTTTCGGTATAGCCAGAGACAGCCTGGCGTCTCGAGAAACATCGAGGCGGAGTTTCCTGCGCGGGCCTCGGAGCTGTAACACAGACGATTCGAATGAGGAACGGGTCCCAGGAAAGCGGTAGGGAGGTCGGGGGCCCGTGCCTCGGAAGAGCCGAGACGCCGGATGTCTGGGTATACCGCGCCCTCCCCCGCCCAGGTCAGCCTCCGCCCAGCCCACGCTTCGTAGGCGAAGGCCCCACCCCAGGGAGGGAACCTTGCACGCCAGGCCCACGACCAGGACCCTCGCCCGCCCCCGGGTTTTTGCCCTGGGGGTCGCGTATCAGTGCTCCTTGGGCGGACGCCACTGCGGGCGGGCGCTCCTCTGGGCCCCTGCGCGCGCAAGGAACGCGCCACTCAGGGCGGCACCACGCTGGGGGCCCGACCGGCCCGCCTCCGCGGAGCCCGCGAGCGCGCCCGTGCGGCGAGGCAGAGGCATCCCGCGGCGAGGAGCACGGCGCGGCATGGGGCAAGGCATTCCAGACCTTCTGGCCTGCGTCTCGAGCAAAATCGAGACGCGGGTTTTCCACAGTGGTCGGCATCGGGGGACCCTGAGCGGGCCTGGGGACCGTCAGAGAACGACTTCGGATGAGGAGCGGGTCCTGGGAAGGTGGTCGAGAGGTCGGGGGCCCGTGTCTCGAAAAGATGGAGACGCCGCATGTCTGGCATTGGCCTGGGCCTCCTAGATGGGTTCGGAGGTTCGCGCCGCATCGCCGATGCATCGGCGATGCGGTTCGATGTGGAGCCCGATATTCTCCATGCTGGCGTCGCCGACGCATCGGCGATGCGGCGTGATCCTCCGAACCCATCTACTCGAACTCCATCGAGGAGGCTTCTTGGGGAGGAGGAGTGATATCGCCGGCTAGGTGTAAAGGCAGAGGGGGCGGAACTTCTCAGAAGGCCCAGGGGGCTCAGAGGGCGCCTTGCCCCCTGAGAAGCTCTTGAAGCCTTCTCCGAAGATGCAGACCAGACTGATTCTGAGAAGCCCCGCCGCCTTCTGAGAAGGTCTGCCCCTTCTGCCTCCCCCCAGGCTCGCCGCTGAGAAGAGGATGGCGGTGACGATGAGGGCATCAGCAGGAGAGGAGGAAGGGTGAGGAGTCAGGACGAGGAGGTAGGAGGGATGAAGGGAGGAGGATGCAGCGAACAGGGATGGGGGCACAGGGATCAAGCAGGACGAAGGGGGAGCCTGAGAACTTGGAGGAAGTGGAGGAGGGGTTCGAAGAAGTCGAGGAAGCGGGGTCTGCATTTGGCAGGGGCTGTCTTGCGCGATTCGCGCGGGCCGACATCGCGCAGGTCAATCTGGCCGAGAACGAATTCAGGGGGGTGTTCGTGGAGGAGGGCAACAAGGCGCGCCCTCCTCTCCCAGACCCCGCCCCAGACCGCCGCAGGCTACGGCGCCGTTTTCTCCCCGCCGGCGCAGGGTGCGGCGGCGCCACTCCGCACCCCGCGCCCGGCGGGAACCGCTCGACACGGCCGTGCGTGCGCGCCTTTTTCCTGTTCCTCTCCGCGCCCCCCCACCCCCTCCGCCTCCTCCTCTTCCTCCGCCTCCTCCTCCTCCTCCTCCTCCTCCTCCTCCTCCTCTCCTCCTCCTCCATCCCCTCCTCCTTCTCCTCCTCCTCCTTCTCCTCCTCCTCCTCCTCCTCCCTCTCCTCCTCCTCCTCCCCCTCCTCCATCCCCTCCTCCTCCTTCTCCTCCTGCTTCTCCATCCCCTCCTCCTCCTCTTCTCCTCTTCCTCCTCCTTCTCCCTCCTCCTCCTCCTCCTCCTCCTCCTCCTCCTCCTCCTCCTCCTCCTCCTCCCCGTCCTCCCCCTCTCCGTGAGGTCTTGGCGTCTCATTTTTGGGGTAGCAGGCCGTTTTCGCTTTTTGTTTTGGGCCCCCGAGACCCTCACAGATCGATCCGTCTCGGAAGTTGAGGCAGAGAGATGGCGTCTGGGGCCCCGGGCGTGATTCTCTTGCACGATGCCGTAGCTCTTCGCGACGCCGGATCTCAGGGCCCGCCCCGGCATTCACGGCCGCCCAGCTCGAGCGCATTCGAACCTATTCGAGTTCGAGGCCGGGGAGCGGTGCAGCCGCCGCCGTGCACCCCTGCGTGTCCACCCGAGCGACAGCACGAGTTCCTCGTCGCGCCTGACCGCGACCACGCGCCCAGGGCGCCGTCCGCCACCGCCCCGCGCCACGCCTCGCCCCGGGCGCCGTCCCCCTCTCCCTCCCCCCCTCGGTAGCGCTCGGGCGTGTGAGCCTCGTCTCGGCGGGGATGCTTCAGGGGCCTCCCGGATCACCCTGCGAAAGAGAGCCAGGCGCGAGACCAAACAAACAAAAACAGCACAGGCATGGGACGTCCGAGCGATGGCCAGGCCTCCCCTCTGGCATCGCTGGGGCGTGGGCGCTGCTCTCCTCGGCGGGGGCAGCCGGGGGAGGCCGTGCCGGGAGAGCAGCGAGCGAGAAGGCCGCGCGCACGGCCGCGGGGCGTGTGCGGGGCGCGGAGGGCCGAGCGACGGCAGGCCCCATCGTCCTCCTTCCCCCTTCCTCCCCTTCCCCTTGTGACGATCAGGAGGAAAAGAAACACACAGACACAATTCGGGGGAGCGTAAGACCCGGGTTTGCCAGGACTCGGGTTCGCCATCGTTTTTTGACGACCGCGCCTCGGATTTTGACAAGGAGGAGTTTCGTGGGATGTCTGCAGCGGGAGGCCTCGCCAAAATGCAGGCTCGGCCTTGTCATTTTTTTGACCTCGTCGGGGATTTCCGAGTCCCCTGTACCCAGGTCTTACGTCCCCCTGAACAATGAATCGTCGACTCCCAGGAAAATATGGGAAAATATGGGGAGTGGGGGCGAAGACACAAAGTCCAAGAACAGATGGGAGAATATGCGGAATCCTTCTACTTGTGTGTATTTTCTGTCTGTGCCCTGGGGCCCCTTCCCCTTGTGATGCTCCAGCCTGCTTTCGCCTTGGTCACCAGACAGAAGCTCGAGCGCCAGAGCAAAAGAGTGCCCCCCAAACTCGAGGGTGTTCACGCGTCGGGCCCTGGGAGGCACCGTTTCGACCCTCTGTCGACACCCGGTCGACACTTCTCCGTGTGCTCGACATGAATTCATCGCTTCGCTCACTCCGCTGGCCCTTGAGCCCTCTTTAGGGCCTCTTGGGGGCCTCCTGGGGACCTGTTGGGAGTCTCTTGGGGCTCCTTGGCGGCGTCTTGGGGGCCCCCAGGGCCCCTTGGGGGGCTCTTGAGGGCCTCTTGGGGCGGGAGGGGGGCTAGTCGATTGCGCCTTACCCCGTCGGAGGCCACGATCCTCGTGAGGGGAGCCGAAACATTGCCTGGTCCGGCATCTCTGACCCGACCCTCCCGGGACTTGCCCGGGGTACTTTTCGCCCGGGGACCCCCGGGGGCCGCTCCGCGCGCGCGAGCTAGAAACATATCGTTAACCAGTTGCCGGAGATCTTGGCACGCCTCTGGCTCGCTGGGCCGGCGAGTTTCTGGGCTGTGGTCCGTAAGTGCGATGGGAGCAACATCACTCTAGGTCTCCTAGATGGGGTCGGGGTAGATGGGGTCGGGGGATCGCGCCGCATCGCCGATGCATCGCCGATGCGGCTCGATGTGCAGTCCGATTTGCGTCGCGTCCACGTCGCCGATGCATCGCCAGCGTCGACGATGCATCGCCGATGCATCGCCGATGCATCGACGATGTATCGCCGACGTATCGGCGATGCGGTGCGATCCTTCACCACCCACCAAACCACCCCAACCCAACCCGAAGGCCCAAATTTATCCTCGATTTCCAGTGGGGGGGGGGTCGGGGAACGTTGAGAAAACACATGGTAGCCGTACCACCCCCAACCCGAAATTCGGGTCAAATTCGGGTCTTCGGGTTGGGTTGGGGTGGTCTGGTAGGTAGTCAATCCTCCGACCCCATCCACTCCGACCCCATCTAGGAAGCCTCGAGTCACCCTCCCCGCGTCGTCTTCCTCCTGCGCCAGGGGTGCCCGCGAGCCCGCCCGTCCCGCCTCGGCGGGCGCCGGGCCCCTAGCGCCTCTGCTGCTGTCGCGCTCGCTCGCGCGCTCCTCCTTCTCCGCGACTGCGCGTAAGTTCGGGAGCGGAAAAGAGTCAGGAGAGGAAAAAACACACAGACACAATTAATCGTCGATTCCCAGGAAAATATGGGAAAATATGGGAAGTGGGGGTGGATACAATAACTAAGAAAATATGGGGAAATATGGGGAACATTCTTATTTGTGTGTATTTATTTGTGTGTCCCAGGGCCCCTTCAAAGAGGGGGGTGATGACTATGGGGGGGGTGGATATCATGGCGCGGGCCATGATTTTTCCTCGGATCTCACGGCGCCTCTTCTTGTTTTATGACGTCCCAGGCCCCCCCGCTGGGCCGCGCACATGCCGCCCGTCATGATTTGCACCCCCCCCTCTTGGACACCCCCCTCTTTGCCGCTCCCGATAAGTCGGACAGGCCCCTCTACAGGGGGAAGATTCGAAACAAAAAATAAAACATAAAATAAGATGGTCGGGGTGGACAGACCTCCTACCCTGACGCGTCGATTAGTGAATTGGTCGTTTCGGTTCGCGGGAGGGCGTCGCGGCCGTCATTTTTGCGGATCCAGGTGCGTCGGTTTCGGTCCCAGGCCGTTTTCCTTAACGGGAGGTTCACTAAAGGGAGGTTTGTCCACCGCCGAAATAGTTTTGGGACTAATGTTCGGGTATTGTTGAGCATGTGTTGTGTATTTCTTGGGTATGTTTTATCTTTCGCCCAAGATCGGCCTGTAGGGGGACAGGCCCGGCTTGAGACCACACGCAAGAGTGACCTTTTTCGCCAGGGTGACCTTTGGCGCGGGCCCGGTTGGGTCCCCGATCTATCGGCGACGTATCGCCGAAGCCAGCTCGAACGTTCCCTCCCCTCTACACCCCCTCCTCCACGGCCAAGCGCACGCCGCTCCGCTCGGCCTCCGCGCCGGACGGAGGCGAACAAGTTCGGCGCGCTCAGCACGTTCTGGCGCGGCGCGGAGAACTTCCGCGTCGCGGGCGACATGCTGTGGGCCACCGCCCAGGACGCGCCCCTTCTCCTCCTCCCTCCCTCTCGTCCTCCTCCTCCTCCTCCTCCTCCTCCTCCTCCTCCTCCTCCTCCTCCCCCTCCTCCCCCTTCTCCTCCCCCGCGCTCGCTCTCCATCTCCTTCTCCTCTGCGTCACCCCATTTCGCTGTTCCCGTCCCCCCTGCCTGCTTCCCCTCTCCTTCCTCTCTCTCGCCCCCCTCCTTGTCTCGGACCGCCTGCCTCTCTGGATGCCAGCCATGCCAGCATCATCCAGCATCCTTCCTCCCGCTTCCTTCTCCCCGCCCGTCGTGCCCCGCCTTGCTCCTCCACCCCCCCCCTCCTTCCTGCTGCCTACCCTCCCCCCTCGTTCGTCCTCCTCTTCCTCCGCTCCCTTGTGTTCCCTTCTCCCACATGCTTCTCCCCCTTCCTCTGGCCCCTCCCCCACCCCCCTTTCTCTCCTCTCCCGCCCCGCCCCCGCCGCTTCCTCTCGTGACCCTGGATGTCTGGGCGTTTCTCCAGGCCCCAGTGTAGCGAGCCAACTCACCATGGGCGCTCGTTTCTTTGTTTAGGTTGTTGGGCAGGTGTCCGTGGGTACTCCCCCTCCCTGCGCCCCATCATTGCTCCTCCGTTCCACTTCCATCCTCCGTCCTCCGTCGTCCCTCCTCTTCTCTCCCTCCATCTCCCCCTCTCGTCCGTCTCCTCCCCGTTCGTCCCCTCTCACTGCTCTCTTCCTCATCGTTCCCCCTGCTTTTTTTCTCAAGATCTAGGATGAGAGGGAGGAGGTCGACATGAGGGATTGTGGATGGGGTCGGAGGAGGCGGAGGGCTGGTCCGAGGTGTGTGTGTGTGTGTGTGCGCGGTGTCCGTCGGTCGAGCCCGGTGCCCAGACGGCGGACCGGCATAGCCAAGGCTACGGAGCGGGACGCTCCTCGAAGGCATCTTCGGCATCGCTCGGACTTGTGATCTTTTTCTTGGCGAGAACCATCGAGGACCATCCTGGACCATCGAGCGGAAGAAAACACGCACGAAACCGAACAATGCACGGGACATGGACGTCCGAGCGACGGCAAGTATCACAGTACTTGCTCTGGCGCTGGAGTCGCGGGCGTCGTACAGTCAACACGATTTGGTCCTCTTCGTCGCTCTTCCTCCTCCTCCTCTTCCTCGCTCTTCCTCCTCCTCCTCTTCGCTCTTCCTCCTCCTCCTCCTCTTCCTCGCTCTTCCTCCTCCGACTCCCCCGAATCGTGGCGCCGCGCTGGCCCTCAGCCGGCGGGGCGCTCTGGTGCCAGCTCGAGCAATGGACTGCCGAGCATCGCGTCAGGAGGCCGCGAGCCATCGCGGAGGAGCGGGGGCCCGTGGTCGGGGTCTGTTTCACCTGGCCAGGCCGCCCGAGTTTGCCGAGCGACCTTCCGAGGCTGTCCGTGCATGTTTCCCCCTCGGCCCATCTTTGGCCGCTTTCGCTGGCCGCGACGTCCTCGCAGATGGCCCTTGCATCCTTCTCGTGCGTCCTTGCATCCTTCTCGCGCGTCCTTATCATACGGTTTGACTGTACTCCCGTGAATTCCAGTGCCCCAGTTTATGCCCGCACCCGCGGGAATCGAGCAGGACAACATGAGCACGGAGGAACGGGAGGAGGAACAGAAGCGCGAGAGCCAATGATCGCCACATGCAGACCAATGTAGCTTGGGCCTCCCGCGCCTCCGTCGGAGATCCCAATGCGCTGGCTCGCTTGGTTGCGGATCTTCAGTGTGCATTCGTAGAAAGCTTTCCTTTTGGGGAGGGCCGCACATTTGCAATACAGTGAAAACTGTTATCTCACTGAGTGTGGTCTTCAGTGTCGTTTGGCCACGTCTTTCCAATGTTGTGCTGTTTTGGATATTCGAGATACGAATGAAGATGGAATGGGCAGCATTTTTTTGAGACGCCGTGAATGGAACCCATTGCGTTGTCCCAAGTCTGCTTCGGGTAGCCTGATTGATTTCAAGTTGTACGTTAACTTTGTTACCGCCCTTGCCTTGTACATCTCAATTTGTCTTAATGTGGCTGATGCTCGCGTGTGCGCAGCATTTGTGCAGAGATTCGAACATAGATTTTGCTTCGCCAATTCTCTGCGTTAGTTCTTGTTGGGCTATTCGTGCTGATGTCCCCGACGGCTTTGACATGTCACCATGGTGGATTATACCGGAAGCCACTGTTTTACCCCCAGTGAGTGTCCAGTCCGTAACGTACACTTTCTTCGATGTTTCAGTCGAGTGAAATTTTGCAGTTGTCCGTATTCCTGCTGGCGAGCACCCGTCGCCGGCTTGCAGCAGATCAGGGCGCACCACAGACGTGCGGTTCATCGACAGAGTGCATCACCGTTTGCTCAATGATGAACACATTGGGGGAGCGGGGCACCCTTGAACGATGCCAGCTTGCTGTCGCCGTCGAGCTGGCCCCCCCTCCACCATGAGAGGGGAGAGGAGGAAACGAGACGGAGGGGGATGACCACGTACATGTGTAGCAACATGACACCGGACAGCCTTTGTTTGGCCAGCCCGCGCGGACAGGGTCAGGTCCGGGCGAGCGCAAGCGCGCTAACGCTACTTCGAGTTTGGTCCCACGCGCGACACGTCCAAGTGGCAGCGAGTGGCTGCAGGGACGAAGAGGGGATGGAGGAGGAGGCGGAGGAGGAAAATGAAGAGGGTCCGCTCGATGGCTCCCCTGTTGCGCCAAGCTCCCTGGGCAAAGTCGCAGTAGGCATGGCGCGGCGCCGCCGCCGCCTCTGTGCCGCACTGCTCTGAGAGCAGCAGCAGTAACGCGAACATCCTTGGCAGCAGTAGCTCTGGATGATCGAAGTGGTCGATCGGTACGGGCACAGGAGGAGGAAAAAGAGGAGGAAGAGGAAAAGGTGAAGCGTCCCAACCGGCGCGTCTAGCGGCTTCTGTGCGCGAGCGCCGAACCGCACAGCGCACGCGTACCCTGGGCCAGGGATGCACCGCAGTATTTGGACAGTGTGCGCGTGCGGCTTGTAGAAGGAGCCTGGGATAGGAGGGGGAGGAGCAGGGAGGGAGGAACAGGTGTAGAGGAACAGGAGGAGGAAGGAACAGGCGGCGAGCCACTGGAACCCACCAGTTCCCCCTCACCGAAACATAGCAACATACGAGTGAGTCTGACACGGGTGGACGTAGGCAGTTGCGCGCGCCCCCGCTTCGCACGATTTGGCGAGCAATCGAACTGCGCCGCGTCTGTATTCGAGACCGCTGGCGCAACCAAACAGCAGGACGAACAAACCAGCTGGGCGCTATCGCGACGGGGACAGTTGGGCCTTTCGCGCGCGATTTGGTCAGCACCACGCTTCGACGCACATCCCGAACGTCGACGGCAACACGTCAATGCTGTAGTGTTTGGCACGTGGAACACCGCCAATGTTGCAGTCTTCGGCACATCCACACTTGGTCTGGCGATCGGCGGATTGGGTCCTGAAGAATGGGGGAGGAGTAGGAGGAGGAGGAGGAGGAGGAGGCGGAGGTGGTGGAAGATGAGGATCATGAGGAGGAGAAACAGGACAACACATCTGCTGCTGGCGGCCTTGTGTGCGGCTTCTCCTGGAATAGGGCCGAGAGTCTGAGGGCGCCCCCCTCTGCAGGCCCACAGAACAGAGGGGACGTCAGTTGGGCGCACCAAAAAAAGGGGGCGTCAATGGGGGTGCATCAAGGGGGGGGGGGGGGGCGTCGATAGGGGGTACCAAAAGGAGGGGCACCCAGGGAGTGCAGCAACGGGGGCGGCTCAAGCGGGCGGTAAAGCGCGCAGACTGGCTGCATCCCTGGGCGCCCGGTCTTTGGTTCGCCTGCAGACCTGACCCTTCGGCCCTACACGAACTCTCCTTTTGTTCCCCTTCTCTCTATCTTTCTCTCTCTCTCTCTCAAACTCTCTTCGCTTCTCTCTCTCTCTCTCTCTCTCCCTCTCTCCGCTTCTCTCTCTCTCTATCTTTTTTTGATTTATCTTCTCTCTCTCTCTCTCTCTCTCTCCTCTCTCTCGCTTCTCTCTCTCTCTATCTTTTTTTGATTTATCTCACTCTCTCTCTCTCTCTCGCTCGCTCTCTCGCTCTCTCCTCTCACTCTCTCTCTCCCTCTCTATCCTTCTCTCTCTCTATAATATATTGTTTGTTGTTTTATCTCGCTCTCTCTCTCTCTCCCTCTCCTCCAACGCTCTCTCTCTCTCCCTCCTTCGCGCCCGCCCTCGTGGCCGCCGTCTCCTCCTTGTTTGGCGGGGGGGGATGCCCCCCCCGTGCGCCGCCCCCGCGCCCGCGCCCCCGGCAGGCCTGCCCCGTGCGCCGCGTCATCGTGGACGGCACCCTGCAGCTGGCCGCCCGCGCTCCGCCTCGTGCGCTGGGCGGCCGGCGGCGGCGACGTGCGGGCCGCCCGCGTCGGAGGTGGATCTCCGGGGGTGGACAGAGCCCACCCTCCTCCTCCTCCTCCTCCTCCTCCTCCTCCTCCTCCACCTCCTCCCTCCTCCTCCTCCTCCTCCTCCTCCTCCTCCTCCTCCTCCTCCCTCTCCCCTCTCCTCCTACCCCTCCTCCTCCCTCCTCCTTCTCCTCCTCCTCCTCCTCCTCCTTCCCCTCCTCCTCCTCCTCCCAGAACCCCCAACAGTGACACGTCGATTAGTGAATTGTCCGTTTTCGGTTCTCGAGAGGGCGCCGTGGCCGCTACTCTCCAGGCTTGCGCCGCCAGGTTGGGGCCTCAGGCCGCTTTCCCTAAACCACGGTTTACTAAAGGGGGGTCTGTCCATCCCCGAGGATAGGCCTCCTACCCTGACACGTCGATGAAGGAACTGGTCGTCTTCGGTTCGCGGGAGGGCCTCGCGGCCGTCGTTTTTGCGGGTCCAGGTCCGTCGGTTTCGGTCCCAGGCCGTTTTCACTAAGGGGCGGTTTACTAGAGGGAGGTTTGTCCACCGCCGACTATGGGAAGCATGGGAGCTTGGCATACTCTTATCGGGCAGGGGGCAAGGGGGGATCGGGAAAGGGGGGGGTACGAAATCTGCTGCATGCAGCTGGTTTCGGCCCCGCCGCCGGGCCCATTCCTCGATACATGGGCGAGCTGATTATCACCCCCCCCCTTTGCTATCCCCCCCTGGAAGGTTTTCGGAGGATCCTTGGAGGGTTTGGTTGTTTAGGAAGGGGGCCAGTCCCTAGCGAACCCAGGATTTTCCAAGTATGCCCTCTTAAGTCCGTCTTTAGCGTCGACCGGCGTCGATTGGCTTCTGGGAATCGATGAGATAGCGCCGATTCAGCGTCGGCTCGCGTCGGCTAGCGCCAATGTAGCGCCGATTTAGCGCTGAACAGCGCCGACTAGCGTCGATCCGCGTCGATTCGCAAGAGCCGACAATGGTATGGGAGGCTCCCGTGAGCTGCCACCGTCGGCTCTCTCCTGGGCGAATCTGATAGTTCTCGTGACTTCTTCTGGGGCCCCCGTGGGCTACGTGCCGCGAAGCTCGGCTGGGACTTCGCGGGGGGGGTGGGTCTGCCAAGATAGGAGACGCCTTGGGCCGCCCTTCGGGCGATCCTGAGACGCCTGGGGTCCGCCTTCGGACCAATGTTTGCAATCACGAGGCGCATGTGCTCTGCATTCCTCAGTGAGGCTCCCTCGCTGCTGAGGACCAGACGAATCTCGGCCCTCTTCCTCGGGACGGACTCTTGAGCCTGGCTCGCTTAGTTTACTGCCCGCCGCCCAGGACGCGGCCCCAGGGGTTCGAAAACAGCGCAGGGCCGGCGGTGACGCCCATACCTGAGTCGAGTAGTCGGCGCCCTCCTACCGATCGCGCAGGTCAGGCGCAGAAGCAAGGACATAGTTTGGACCCAATGAGGGGCTCCTGTTTCCGAGCGGCCCCACAGGCCTGGGTCGAGGGGCCCGCTCGTGGCCGGGGCCCGTGGGGGCAAGGGAAGGCCGCTGTCTCTTGCCCAGCGCTCCCCGTGGCAGCACGGTGGCCGCGCAGGCGTTCCCAGGGGGTGCCCGCGGCGCACAGCTTCCCGGGGGTGCGCGTCTGGGGGGCCGCGCGCCGGGCGTGGGCGGCCGCGCCCGCCGCCCGCCCGCGGGTGCTCGGCGGGAAGCAGCCTTCCAAGGGGGGGGGGAGGGAGGAGCGGCGCCACCACCAGCAGGCCACCGCCAGCGCGGGGGTCCACAGGCCCTCCGAGCTGGAGATCGGAGATATCTCGAGCGGGGCGCCGCAAAATACGGGGGCCGCAACGCCAGGAAGGGCCTCCCTGGCGTCCTCGCGATGGTGGTGGCGGGGTG